CTCGTCCAGCCTGCAGCCGAGTTGAAAATCGTACCCCTGTCTGGCTCGACGCATATAGAACTTGGTATGGTCCGCGACGGGGAAAAATTCAGCACCAATCGTGATTGTTACATTATGAGCAACATTCCGCCACGATTTTATGGCTTGACCCACGTGCGCGTTTACAATGACGAAACACAGGTATCATTCCAAATAAACGTACCCGCCATTGTGTACGTCGCAAGTGACTCGCGCAAATCCAATATACTGCCATCCTACTTTTTGAATACGGGAGAGAAAGTCGCTCTTGCTGGTTGTCATCCCGAACTGGACTTCCCTGTCTACGCCAAAAAATGCAACCCCGGAATTGTTCAGATTCATTTGCACGAAGTTCGAACGTTGACCGTTTTCGTGGAGCCCATCGTTGACAACACATTCAAGTCTGGCGTTTATTAGAACGTTTTTGATTACTCGATATATATACCAGTTGATTTTTTGAATATATCTTATTGGCTATATATTTCAACAAACTTTCATCGTTTGCCATTTTATTGTATTTGACTGTTTATTTGCATGCGTTAGTTATTTGTTGAAAACTGTAGTATACAAGTTTCTCTTTTTTCACTTTTCACTTAAATAGCATGTAATTATATGCATGACTATATCTATACAGGCCCAAGTATCGTTTGCCCATACAGCTTAACCCCGCGTATAAGAACCTAGATTTTAAGAACCTGTTAGGCTAAAATTGCTTATTTAGACCGACCCCCTTTATATACTATAAACCTGTTTAGGCTAAAATGTCAAACACTCAGGTTCTTATTTTATTTTTATCACTTGAAACTATTAGTTGAAACTAAAAACTTATAAATCAAAGAAAATAAACTCTTCACAAAGTAATGAAAGTGACCCAGAAGTCAGAGTCCTGGATATGCCAAAACAATAAACAGCATGTCTGTTTAAATACATCAACAAAAAATAACCGTACCTACACCAACCGCCCGAATTCGGGTCGCTTTTTCTTTAGAAAATAAGAACCTATTTAAGAACAGTTTAGCCTAATTTCACGATAAGCACCATTTATATAAGAACCTGTTTCGGCTAACTTGAAAAATGTAGGTTATTATATATAGCTATTTCAATTAAGGTTGTCCACGAGCAAAGCGGAAAAGTCGAATACGAGCGCGAAAGGCTGCTGGGAATCGTTTTGAAATTTCATTAACTTGTTAACGATTCCCAGCAGCCTTTCGCGCTCGCATTCGACTTTTTCGCTTTGCTCTTGGACAACCTTAATTGAAATAGCTGTATGGCGGGGTCTTACTGTAATTGTCGTATAATTACGACGGTCTTACTATAATTACGTTAATTAAACTATTTGTATTTGATTAGAGATTATACTATAGTTATACTTGTAAGATGCATAAAGGCTTTTTATTGCCCTTTGTAAAAGTTTCGCTTTTGACTTCATTAAATTACCTTTAAATAATATTTGTCTAATTGTTCACAAGGTCAAACTTTTATGCACCTACGCATTTTTTTCCAAGTACTATTTAAAACACGCGTGTAGGAGTGTTTTATTTAAAATACGAGTGCGCAGCACGAGCATTTTAGATACGATAAAACACGACTACAAGTGTTTTGAATAGCTTCAACACGACTACAATAGATGCTGTCTCATTACTATTCTTTATATAAAGAATATTAATTAGGATGGACTTTTATATAAAGAATACTAATGAAGATGAGTTTTATCAGGTATAAAACCTCTTCACGTGACATATTATGGTTGACATGATTTGCCAATAAACGTATGAATTATTAATGAGTGTAATCCATTCATTTATAAACTACAAAATATAATTTTCTTTCCTTATTGAATTATACGAAATATAAATTCTACATTTTATTCAACGACATTTATCCATGCAATTCAACTTTTGACGTTGAACTGGCAAAATCTAAACGCGCCACATTAACGCACAACTCCTGTCGTTCCCGTTTCGTTCTCGACTTGCTCCTAATCCCTCGTTCTTTAAGTTCGAATTTCTGAAGCAACCGTTTCGTTTTGTCAAGCTCTTGTCTTAGTTCTTCGTTCTCAACGTCTAGCGTTGTAACTTGTTGTGATAACTGGATAATTAGTTGATTTCGTGGAGTACACGAGGGATCCTCATCGGGTCCAACGCAATCATTCTTGGATTCTTCTGTTGTTTGAAGCCGTAAACGATCTAAAATGATGGAAAATAAATCATGTCGATAGGCTGCTCTAGTACAAGTATATAAGCTTTTACATTTTTCTTGTCCGGTGGGGGAGGGGGTACTTTCATCTCCGTGACTTCAATTGCTGCAATATGTAGTTATAATTTCCCCTCCATATTTGTTTCATCCTAATACACCCTGCCGGGAAGTTCGTCTCTTCGGCTAATATATAGAACTTTATTTTCGTGATTGAGATGTTGGCTTTGACTAATAGAGACCTTACGATTTAGGACAGCAACACGACGGCAACGGCTACCAATACAATAAATCATTCAAAATAATTGAATAATTACAATATATGAATAATTTAGACATTGTCCTCGCTCTGTTTACAACGCCAAATCACAGATTTTCACGTCTTGATACAACGGCTGCATTTCAAGCCGCAACAAGTGCAACTTCAAACTGGGTTCAGGAGAACTCTTCCCAAGCATAAAACCCATGTCTTCAACTTCTAAGTCTGTATTAAATTCATACGATTGATAATATACGACGAATTATCTTTACTACCATTTATTTGAAGGAGTTTGTTTTGGCCGTCGCCGTCGCGTTGCCGTCCTAAAATCGTAAGGTCTCTACTGTCACGAAAACGAGGCCAGTGACGTTACTTTCCGAATGGGTATATTGCGTAGTACATTATCAGAAAAGTGTTCACTTGGCATGTGAAAACTTTATCTGAAATGGTAAATAAATTGGTTGGTAAATGCGTAGACATACGTTATGTGGTTATTTCTCAAATCTTAACACCACTCTACACTGTACCTTCCAAGGCTTCATTCTCTTCTGTTAGTCTCTTTTTCTCGTCTTTCAACGCAAACACTTTCAAAGCGTAGTCTTGTTTCGACTTTGCGTGATTTTCTTGAAGTCTTTTGATTTTCTTCTGCAATTGTCGTATCTTTAACCGTAATAATATATACCATAATTCTTATTGATATGTTATAACAGTAAATAGAATAATTAAATGAAAAAGGAGTTCTGGCATTTGAAATGGTACTTCTGGCATTTGAAAACCAAGTTCTGGCATTTGAAAAGGAGGTTCTGGCATTTGTAAAGGGAGTTCTGGCATTTGAAATGGTATTTCTGGCATTTGAAAACCAAGTTCTGGCATTTGAAATCCAAGTTTTGGCATTTGAAAAGGGAGTTCTGGCATTTGTAAAGGAAGCTAGTTCTTGCATTTACTTTTTCATGTCAAGACATGTCAGACGTGCTCATATACCAGTTTAGTAAGGTCATATATGGTACCAGCAAATTGTAAGTATGCAAATAGCGAGAGCTCCACGTATCCTATGTGGTACGTGGTTGAAAACAGAGAAATACCAGACCATATATACTGTATATGATCTATTTATTAAGCAAATATCATTTACTATTTACGGGAACGTACATACAAGAGTCTTATTGCTTTGTTACACTTACCGTTTTCTTCGACTCCTCATGAATTCTTTTTAATTCCTCTTCAAGATTTGACATGCGCTACAAATGTTTTTAAGATATTTAAAATACGTTCTTAACAATCTCACTCACCTCCATGAAATATATCGCGAGGTTATTATACAAGATTTTTTAAATGTTTTACAAAATATTAAACTCAGTACCTGTGTTTTGGCTTTATATGTTTCATTAGATCTTTCTGATTCTAGTTCGCTATTCCGGAGTTTTAAAACTTCGATCTTAGTGGAAAGTGATAATATTTCCGATTCTTTTTCATTGCACTGAAAATAGAAACCAACAAACAAACTCCATCAAGTTATACTCTGATGAATAAAATTGTCTCGCGTTCGACAGAGTAAAAGATAATTAAGTAGGGTGCATTTGGGGACATTGCATTACTTTATGGGTTAAAATTGCAACCAAGGGGTGTTTTTGCCCCTTCTAAGTTTGCAAAATCTCTCACAACCTTGATTACAAGAATTTTAATTAAAATCCAAAATCAGCACACACCATCTTTTCAAAATAGTTTGCTCTATCTTCCAACAAAATCCTGCCGTTTTCCAGCCTTTCATTCTCTGCCCTTAAACTTTGCAGTTCAGTTTCTGTTTTCTAGGAAAAAGAAAATGTTTTCTGTCTGATATATATGACAATACAGTATACTCTATTATTAGCTCTTTGTGCATATGGATATGTCAGCCAGTTAATCGTTGAACAAAAAAATAGAAACTTCTCTGTGTCTTGAGCAATAAGGCCCTTCGTTAGGAGAGTTTATAGCAATATGCCTGTGAGCTCATGCAAAGTTAAATTTTATATGATAAAAGGGCACATACCATTAAAAAAGTGCTGGGGGGGGGGTTCAAATTTTATTTTTCGGCCATCTGCTTGTGCTGGGATATTTTTGCAGAATTTAAAGGTATTTTCCTTTGCACTTTTGTTTTCATTTGAACAAATTTTTTTTGTCCCCCCCCCCAGCACATTTCAAATGGTCCACCCCCTCACTTATTTTCTATCATAAAATAATACCTCTAAACATTCTCTCAATGTATTGATATTATTGCACGATTGTTGATTCGGTTCAGGTTGGTGTAGGTTTAGTTGGCATTCATCATCAGTGACCACTCTAAATTTAGAAAGTTACAATCAGGATCGCCACATTGCCTTCGGAGTCTGGTTCACACTGGCAATTTTGTCGGCGATTTTGTGTTTCTGACGGATGCAAATGGTCCATTCCATTTAATGTACACCCCCCCCCTCCCCCTCCATGGACGAGAATTTCTGAGGGGTTGTGTGCGTTGGCATCCTTTGATCTTTGCATTTTTTCTGAGGAGTAAGGCAAAAATTTCTTAATTTCT